GGGATATAAATCAAATAAATAAATAAATAAAAATAAATACTGTATGTCATGGCTGAGACTACAGAATGAATTGATGGCTGATACCAGATTTAAGATTTGAATAATGACAGATAAGAAAGAATAATAGATCAAACCAAAAACTGAGAATACTTCACATGTTTTGGAGATCCAAGACTTCAAGTGTCATGGAAACTTCCTAATGCTGCTGCTATGTGTTCCCAGACAACCACATTGCCTATATACCCCCACAATTTGTGCTGGATTTGGCACAAAAAAAGAAAAAGAAAAAGAAATTTAAAAACCAGCAACCACACAACATTAAGCTTAGCATGGAAAAACTTTGTGTTTTTCATTGGAGAATTGTCTTTTCTTCATCAGCCATCAGGCCTTTTTTGTGGATCAGTATTTCATCCCCTGCAATCTGGATTCCTTCCAAACAAACAAACAAAATTGCTGGGACCAATCATTCTTTTTCAGGATATGCAAGACTGGTCTTTTCAATTTATTTGATGTGTTTTTAAACTGCAGATCAGTTCCTGCATGGGGGGAGAGTTTTACATTTAAAAAAAATCATAACTTGAAAAACTTTGCCCAAACACCCTCCAATTTGGCACAGACCAAGAGAAGACTGTCTGGTACATATGTGCTAAATTTGGTGCTGATCCAAAGTCTAGTTTCAAAGTTATGCTGTTTTATTTGGTGTGCCCCCATTTTTAGAATTGCCTTGTCGAATATTGATTTGCTCTGTTGCACAATATCATGTGCTGTGCTCCTGTGCAGCAATAATTAACTGGATATAGCTGAGTGGATGTGTTTGTTCCTTTGTTGTTTTCAGGTCTATAGGACTATTGCTTTACTATGAGGAAGTCCACAATCTTTAGTCTTGCTCTCATTATACTATAATACAAACATATTCAGGAAAATATTGCTACGGAAGAAACAAACATAATACATACCAGACTTTCAGACTTAAGAGTGAAGAGTTCATCAGTCATTTCAATTAATTTACAGGAGCATGCTATATTGATGGCTGTTTCGTGTTTATCACCTGTCAGCATCCAAATATTGATCCCTGCTTTTTGAAGTGCTTCAATGGTTTCCGGAACACCTTCTTGCAGGCGATCTTCAATCCCAGTGGCACCTAGGACAAACATCCCTTTGCTAGTGCTAACAATAATCAGTCTGGTTGTTGTGGGTTTTTCGGGCACTTTGGCCGTGTTCTGAAGGTTTTTCTTTCCTCACGTGTAGTGGGCTTGGCTCAGCTGTTAGGGACAGATGGAAGCCCACTACACCAGAGCACAGAGTGCTGTCCTCTGAAGATGCCGGCCACAGAGACTGACAAAACATTAGGAAGAACAACCTTCAGAACGCGGCCAAAGAGCCCGAAAAAGCCACAACAGATTCCGGCCGTGAAAGCCTTCGCGATTACAATAATCAGTCTGTTTTTCAAATAAAGGAGCTACCCAGGAAAATGAAGGAACAGTGTTTAGAATGGAGCAATGTCCTATTACTCTCAAAGAAAAAGAGATGTAAAGTTGAAAACAAAACTCAAGACCCATTTGGCTGGTTATGAAACTGGGAAGTTTTCTGAAATAGACTGAGGAATCTTTGAGCAAGATGGCTCCAATTTCAGATCCTAATGCAAAGATTGGAGAAAATTAGGTATCAAAGCATCTTCCTTTTTACAACCCAGCAAACATAACAAACAGCAGATTTTGTGAAACCATTTTGTGAAACCATTTATGTGAAATCCAGAAAAGAATTATGAGCAATTAGCAAAGCTCATCCAAGAGATTTTCCGCCTGCAGAGAAAAACCAGGTGCCTGCCCCTGTTCTAGCTGGATTTTGCTTTAACCCTCTGGCAATGGGACACAGCATCCTCTATTGTACCCCAGGGCAGCTTGGGATGTGACCTTTCCATAGCACAGTGCCACTCCCAAGCCTCTGCTGCCTGTGGCAGACACTTCCATCCATTCCTAACAGCTGAACCAGTGCTGAAAATCAGGCTGTATTTCAGTGTCTGAAATATCTTTGGAGCATACCTGGATTTAGCAACTGACATTAAGGAGTATATAATCATACGTACCAGTGGTGGGTCCAAGGCAGACCTTCCAAGTTCCATTCTGGATTATTAATATTATTTACCAGAGCTTGTAAAAGTTACCATGGGGACCTAGAGTCAGCACATTCCCCCAGTCAGCATGGTCAGCCACATAGCCTAAGTGGGTATAATCCAGACATATATCTGCTGCTTCATTGAGAACCAGGCCTGAGTCAACACAAAGGATCTGATGGAGCTCCCTTCCAGCGGGAGACTCCACTGTTGTTATTATTCAGATGTCATTTACAAATGTTTTTACAAACTTTTCAAAGCTCTGTAAAGTAGGAATGTTAATTGTTACTGTCTTGTTGCTTGTTTGTATGGTTGGTTTTACTGTAATTTTAAAACCATATTTATGATTCTAGTGACGTAACTTTTAAGTGTTTTTTTTGTGTGGAAGTTGTTAGCCACTTGGCTCCTGTGAGGAAGGGTGGGATACAAATAAAATTAATACATTAGTATTTTTTTAAAGAGAAGAACGTGCATGCCACATGCTTTTAAAATACTGGATCTGGTTTTTTTTAAAGATAAAACTAGGATATTGTAGGTGTGGGGGAGAAAAAAAGGAGAAATGGACAAAAATAGCTCACCAGCAGATCTTAGTGTCTCTCCCCTGTTCTCTATTATTATCCAACATTAAGCAAGAGAGGGCAGAAAGACTAGTGTGCACAAAGGTGCTAAAAGACTCTCCATTTTCCAGAATGGATGATTAGACAAGGAGAGACTACTGGGTACCACGTTGGGCTTAGTGGGCAGCAAGGAGTGGAAAGACCTTCCATTTTATGGCTTGATTTACTTGTCTTTTTTAATTTTATTCTAAAGGCGGGGTATACCACAGAGGAAAGACCTCATGTTTCTTCAGTAACTCTGAGGGAGCTTTGGTCACCTCCATAACGTTTGCTTTATGGACCACTGTGTGTCCAGTGTGTATGTTTAATGTTTTGGGGAGTGAAGACAGGGCTTCGGAAAAGAAATTGAAGATGCAACTCCACAACAGGAAAAATGCAAATGGATCCACTGTGAAGTTGCACCCAGGAAGTTGGGTTTCTCTGGGTGTGTTTGGTTTTGCCTGCTATACAGGAGTTAGGAAGAGAGGAGAAAATGGGCAAGTCACCTTGTTTGCAGCTTGTTAAAGTATCTCTGTAGTATCCTTCCAGATTTACAGGAGACAGCGCTACATCAGAGCTACAATAACAAGCTGTGAAGAGCTACTTAACAGTTTTCGTCCTGCTCTGTGCTGTCCCTGTGCTCTTTCCCTCACCCCCCATGGTCTCCAGCTGCCCTAGTGCATGAGTGCTTGCTCTAAGCCTTTTTCAAAAAATGGTTTGGAGACAAAGGATGCTTGGCTGAAGGGAACTGACACTCATCCAAATGCCCCTTTCACTCATGCATGTTTGTATTTTCCAGCTTTTCCCAGAGGCCCTGCCAAATGGGACTAGAAAAGACATCATTCTATTATGCCACCTGCCATATAAATCTAGTATGTTAATTTTGAATACCAGTTATCCACTATTCATTTTTTAAAAAAACAACACCACACATTTTCTCCTTCCATGAAACAATGAACTTCATAGGGTGAAGGTGTGAGTATCTTGGCTTTCCAGATGTTTAGGTCTACAACACCAGTCAACCTCACATAACAAGGGCCTGGGGGCATTAAGGTCAAGGACATCTGAAGGTCAAAACTGTACCCTCTCCAGCTGTCAAGTGGCAAAAACAAAATTTCAAATTAACCTTACTATTTTATGGAATTAAAGCGAAATTGCAGTAAGTTTTCCATTCATACTTTTAGATGTTTGGTAATCAACAGTTTTCTTTCCAACTCACCAAGCAATGTCAAATTGTTTTCAAGCCTCTCTGCAGACGCCAAGAGCATCTCTTCTCTGGAATCTATATTGCTTTCTGCTTCAAAATGTCCTTTCAACCACTCCTCATATTCCTCATCACATAACACCTGCAGAAACAGCAGAAGTCCATGCCAGTCAAAGTACTAAAAAAACATTTTTAAGACATTGATGGCTACCCAGTGTTCCATCAATCTAACTATTATCATAAGGTTGAATTTAAAAGACTGACTTAAAATGCTTTTAATTGGGCAGAATTTATATTTCTTGATAGTTATTCAAAATGATGAAAACCAGAAAACAACTGCTTATAGAGAATTCAAAGTCTCAGATCATCTCTGGCTGGAAGCCATCATGAAAAGAATAATAACGGACACAAACCCTAGGACCCACAGAATCTAGCAACCATTATTCCAGCAAACAGACTTGAGGGGGGGGGGGAGCAGAGAGAGAGAGAGAGAGAGAGAGAGGGAGAGAGGGAAGGAGGGAGGACAATGGTGGGGGGAGGCTTGAGTCTAAACTCTATTTTAGAGCAAACCAGCCAGCACAGAACCTTGCAAAAACTTTTCTGAAAAGGGAAAAGCAAGTGAAGTATGCAGGAACCATTGCAAATGGACAGAATACAAACAGAGCAGATCAGAAATGCAAAGAGAACAAAGGGACAAGGTGGGAAACACACAGAAATCAAAGAGAAAAGCAAGGGAAGTATGCAGGAACCATTGGAAATGCACAGAATACAAACGGAACAGATCAAAAATGCAAAGAGAACAAAGCAAAAAGCAAGGGAAGTATGGAAGACACATCAGAAATGGGGGGAAACCCCCCAAAAGCAACCAAACCCCCCAAGACCCATTGGAAATTGGGGGAAACCAAAAAACAAACCCCCCAAGACCCATCAGAAATGGAAAAAAAAACACTCTAAAAAGCAACAACCTCCCCCATCAGAAATAGGGGGGACACCAAAAAACAACAAACACCCCCAAGACCCATCACAGCACAGAAAGATAACACCCCGAGCCGAAAACCACACTGCACAAAAA